TATATATAAATATATATATAAAGTTCTGATACTTAAAAGAATAACACTTGACAGTAGAAAACGAGAATCGACCAGCTTTTTTTCATTAGATTTTAATTTTACGGTAATAAATCTACCACACTTCCAAAAATTTTCCTTACTGCTTTGAAAGAAAACACAAACAATTGAAAGAAAACACAAACAAAAGTGTCTTAACAGAAAGATTTACTCTTTTTTTCCTATTTTCCATTCTTATTGATATTTCCTTCATGTGTGTATGGTGTTTTTCTTATCTGTATTCAAAATGAAAAGAGTTTATAATAAATGGATTAAGTAAAAGGAGTTTGCAGTTATCAAAAAGCAAAAAGTGGCAAATTTATTTTCTTTTTTTTATGGAGGAATTTTATTCCTTTCTAGGAAAGAAAGGTTAGTAATAATTAATACACAATTTTAAAAAAATTTAAAGGAGAAATTTAAATTGAAATAATTGGATTTTGACCAAATTTTAACAAGATTTATACATGAGATACATGAGATCAAGTTGAACTAGTCGACAGTCTACATTCGCTAACTCGCAACTCTCGACTCAACCAGTAGTTTAAAATTGAAGAATCGGAAAAAAACATACTTTTATGAAGTTTTTTTTAGAGTTTTGATATTTCCTTAGTTTTATAAAGTTTTTCTAGATATTTTCACCAAATTTTAACAAGATTGATACACTAGATCAAGTTGAACTAGTCAATAGGCTACCTTCTCTAACTTGCAACATTTGACTTAAACGGGAGTTCAAAATTGAAAAATTTGAAAAAAAACTTTTACGAAGTTTTTTAGACTTTTGATATTTCCTTAGTTTTATAAAGTTTTTCTTGGTACTTTGAACAAATTTTAACAAGGTTGATACATGAGATCAAGTTGAACTAGTCGACAGGCTACATTTGCTAACATCCAACTCTCGACTCAACCGGTAGTTCAAAATCGAAAAATCAGAAAAAAACATACTTTTACGAAGTTTTTTTAAACTTTTGATATTGGCTGTTGGGGCAATAATAAAATATTAATTCTAACATGCTCACTAACCTGACTGCCAGCAGAGAGAGTTGATTTACCATTTGTAAATCCCTCCTGGAAAAAGAAAAAATTAAGTTTAAATTAGAGAATAGTAGACATCTTACATAAATATATGTTATATAAATAAAATTTACCCTTTGAAGGCAACAATCCTTGCCTTAAAACAGCTACGATGAACCAGCTAATCACACACTGTTCAACACTCGCAAAACAACTTAACGCACTGTTTAAATAGCACTTTATGAAAATGTAGGAAAAAGATACAAAAACGGCACAACACCATCTTGAAAAGAAAAACACAAGAAATGTATAAAACTTACGATAATGAAATATAATGTACAATGATAATCAGATTACTAATAAGGTGTATTAAATAATAATTATAACATACAAAAAGAGCGGAATATGATTTCTTGTACTAATATAACTAAATGAGGTCAGAGTATTCGTTCATTTGATGTGAATAGAATGTCATCCTACTTCTTAACTAATATTAAAATGAATGTCAAAAATAAATATAAGAGCAATCAATCAATAAAATCTAATGATTATTTAGAGATAGAGAGGTGCAGTCTGGTGTGATGTAGGTTTAGAAAAACATTTTCTTAACAGAAATGAGTGATGGAGTGAGTGTTGTGTTCAATCCTTTTTAAAAAGGATAGTTCCTACTCACAGTGAGTAAAAAACATTTTCTTTATCGTGCAGAGCACATCTTACGGTCTCTAAATGATCATTAATTAAAGGTCACTAAAACAAATAAAATCTAATCAATTTCTTTTTATAAATAAAGAGAAAAGACAATTATTGAGGGTTTAAATGAAATTTTCATATCTTAACCTTTGAGCCGACACGAAGAGCCAGTAGCTGAAAAGCTTTTGATACATAATCCAAAATTATAAATAAAGAGAAAAGACAATTATTGAGGGTTTAAATGAAATTTTCATATCTTAACCTTTGAGCCGACACGAAGAGCCAGTAGCTGAAAAGCTTTTGATACATAATCCAAAATAAATCAATATCCGTATTATATAATAATTGAAAACTGGTCAATTGACTATTTGCAATGGAATTCATTTAAAAAAAATATATATAAAGCTTGAACTTAACGCACTGTTTAAATAGCACTTTATGAAAATGTAGGAAAAAGATACAAATTGGCACAACACCATCTAGAAAAGAAAAACAAGAAATGTATAAAACTTACAATAAATGAATTATAATGTACAATGACAATCAGATTACTGAAAAGGTGTAGTAAATAATAATTAAAACATACAAAAAAGGGCGGAATATGATTTCTTGTACTAATATAACTAAATGAGGTCAGAATCATCATTCATTTGATGAGAATAGAATGTCATCCTACTTCTTAACTAATATTAAAATGAATATCAAAAATCAATATAAGAGCAATCAATCAATAAAATCTAATGATTATTTAGAGATAGTGAGGTGCAGTCTGGTGTGATGTAGGTTTAGAAAAACATTTTCTTAACAGAAATGAGTGATGGAGTGAGTGCGGCGTTCAATCCTTTTTAAAAAAGATAGTTCCTACTCACTGTAAGTAAAAAACATTTTCTTTATCGTGCAGAGTGCATCTTACGATCTCTAAATGATCATTAATTAATGGTCACTAAATACCACACAAATAAAATCTAATCAATTTCTTTTTATAAATAAAGAGAAAAGACAATTATTGAGGGTTTAAATGAAATTTTCACATCTTAACCGTCTGAGCCGCCTAGAAGTGCCAGTAGCTGAAAAGCTTTTGATACATAAGCCAAAATAAATCAATATCCGTATTATATAATAATTGAAAACTGGTCAATTGACTATTTGCAATGGAATTCATTTTAAAAAAAGAAAGACCAACACTCTTTAAACTAATAAATGTCAAAAATGATAAATACCTTTTTCGAGGATGAAAATGTGATGTCGAACCGACGGCCGCCACGATAGAAAGAGGGCGAATGGCGGGAATATTACTTCCCAGTCCCCTCACCAACTGATAATCATACAATTTTCTCACAAATTAATTTAAATATTTAAAAATGGTTTAAAATAATATCAACCGAATATTGTAACTACTTTTTTTAATTAAGCCCGATTAAAAAAAAAAAATCATACTTTAGTACTTTTAGAAGATACTTGTTCAAGCTGGCAGTGATCTGATAGGCCGATGATTCTCCGTTTAGAATTTGAATAATGATTTCAGTTTAAAAATAAATAATTAATTGTTAAATATTCCGTAAGTTTTTGTGCTATTATTATTAGAAAGTATTTTAAAGAATGTAATATTTTTTATTTACTAGGAAGTGTCCTTGAATCACCGGCCGTTTCCCGCCATTTCCATGGACGATTCAGGCTACAATTGACGGTCGAGACGGTTTTTTCACGGTGAGCTTTTATTTCGGAATATTATAATCATTTTCATTAATAGCTGCTGTTACGTTGAAATCAACGAAAAATCTTTAATGAAATAATTTATCAATCATCGCCAGTTTTAAATATTGATTTGTTGGATGTTGGTTTTATTGCAACATAGCGAGTCGGTTCAACCTCTTCGGATCGCCTGGTGATTTTGATAAAATTTCATTTTCGATTACCTTCAAATCCAATATTTTTTCAAGAGGAGCAAGTCGGTTTTATGATTATCAATAAATAATGAGATTATTTCAATTAATTATATTTTTTATAGACCAATGGTCATTGGTAGGAATCTCGCTCACAACACTAAAAAAGTTCAATTAATTTAGCGTTTTATCTAAGGCCTTGGAGAGATGGAAAAGTTAATGTTATGGGTGGGTTTCGAACCTGCTTTCTTCGGCCTGCTTTAACCTCTTGAGCTATTGACTCAAGAAGTCATGATCAAGTGGTTAGAGAAGTGGCATATTGCCAAGATGGTTATTGGTTCGAAACCTGCTCACAACACTAAAAACGTATAATTATTTCAATTAGGTACGCAGTCTATCTAAGGCCTTGGTTGAGATGAAAAAGTTAGTGTCGCGAGCAAGTTGGGTTAGAACACAACCTTCAGCTCAATACAGTGCTGCTCTAACCACTTGAAATATCGATTCACGAAGTCTCAATAGCTCAAGTGGTTAGAGCAGTGGTGTACTGAGTTGAAGGTTATGTGTCATAATGATAAATTATGACTGCTAAACATATATGGATTAAAAAATAAAATGAGTGTTTATGGCAGTTCTAATTTATTGATTGATTTATTAATATACTGGGTTTACTCACTGGTTAAGGCAGGGATATGTTCAAACAAATTGCGCATCATATACTGTTGTCCAATAATTTGCCAATGAATGGCAGTGTTTGATGCATTGCACAAATGATTGACTAGTATCAAAAATGTTTGAAATCTTTTGTACAGTTCGGGTCGTGTAGGTGCATATTGCACATTATTTTCAATTATTGGCTGGTATTCTTGATGGAGAATCTCTTAATTGTGTGTCTTGTTTATACATACGTGGAAATACCAGTTACCAAAGTTCTACGCAAGTATTAGAATCCATCCTCAAATAATATTTGTAATCAAGTGGGGTTGTTGTTCTTGAATTAGGCTATCATGGCTAATGGTCGCCCTTTTCTGTTGCCATTCCATTATCCAAACTCTGAGATTTCTTTTTCATTTTCTTGTAACATTGACATAATCTAATCTTAATAATTGATGCAATAGCTATTCGGGACATGGTGGTCATACAATTCCCAATTTACAATTAAAGTTTCAACAAAAATTTAATGAAATATAGGGGTGATGCAGTGCAACTTTGCGTGTCACTTTGTTGAGCATTTGACAATGTAAGGGCACCTTCAGATATTTACTATTACGAAATGTAGATACATAAGATTAGTATTTGAGATCTAGTAGCAATAGTCGAATACATCGAGACACAAACTCGCAACAATTCTACCAGTTCATAAAAATCTAAAAACTGTTTAAAACACATGATTACTTACTTTAAGTATTTCAGGTTGGTTCACATGTTTTAAAAAGTTTTTTTACATTTTGGGTACAATTTCTGGAGCGATATGTATCTGAGACCTAGTAGAAATAGTCGAATACATTATTACTCCAACTCATACATACACTTCCCCAGGTAGGTGAACATCTAAAAACTGGTGAAAATACATACTTTTTCAAACTTTTTACGTATTTTCCTTATTTCTTGCGTTTTATATGGTTTTTGTACATTTTTGCAACACATAATTATTTTATAAATTATACCTTTTATCTAAGATCTTGGTAGAGATGAAAAGTTAGTGATATGAGCAGGTTTCAAGTTTCTAACTACTTAAGCTTTCATGACTTTGTGAGTCAATAGTTCATGTAGTTATGTAGCAGCGTATTGAGCCATCATGGGTCATAACAGTCAAGTATGACTGCTAAACATATGTAGATTAAAAAATAAAATTAGTACTTATGGCTGTTCTAATTTGTTGATTGATTTATTAATACTGCTTTTTCTCACTGGCTAAGGCAGGGCCATCCCAATTTTCAGAACTGACCATCACAATCTGGCCCTCCATCGATTTGTTAAAAACATTATTAAATTGAAATTGGTGGGCTAGAAGAGCTCAGTTGTCAGATAACCCTTGGAGGATATAAATAGGCGAAGAGTGAATATTCCCACTTGACTAAGAGTAGGCCATCTGAGGTTGACAGACAGATACTCTATTTCATACGTAAGGCATAAAAATTTAGAAATCACAAAGTACAGAGTAAAATTTAGAATTAATGGAAGAAAAACAGGGTCCTAATTTTCAGAATTAACCTTACAACCCAGTCCCTAGATTCAGAAAATATGTTAAAAGATTATTAAATTGAAATAGAGCAATGATTAGCTGGGGAGGAGGCCCTAGTATGATCTGACTAGGTGAAGAGGTGTCGTACTCACGTTTCTAAGAATAGGTCAAAGAGGGTTGACAGATTCTCTGCTGTGTCAGGGATGAAAAGTTTTCCCCAGATCTTCCATTCTTTCACTATAGCTTATCTTTTAACTAGTTTGATTTTAAAAAAATTTTCGGTTCTCTTGAGTGAATGGAAAACTTCACCTGGAAAAACTAAAGAAGATGACACTTTACCTATTGTTTTATCAAACTTTCCATAGGAATAAATGAAAAGAAATTATTACAGACTGTTGGTTTATAAACACAGCAGGTATATCAATAAATCACAAAAGAATCAGAGCCCTAGTTGTTTATTGAAGATGTCTGAAACATGTTGAAAAAGGTGGGAAAGAATTTATTACACCATAGATTATTCTAATATAGACAATATTTACGATTATTTCAATGATTATTAACAAAAACAATTATAATTGGAGCTATTTATTTCAATCACTTTTCTCTTTTCACTAAAATCGTCATAAGAACTGATTTACATTCTCCAATAATATTTACATTGTTTTACATTCACATTGTTATATATTTACATTGTTTCGGTATCTGGTATCTGAAATTCAAGAAGCAAAGTAAGTCATGTTATGACAAAGGATATTTGACATTTTTTTCTACTCATACCTGATCATTTATGGTTGAATTACAAGATTTTAAAAAAATTAACACCTCTGTTGAATATTCATTTAAAAAGTACAGGAGTTTGTAGTACCAGTGAATAGTTAACTTTATTCCTCTGCAATTTGTGTTAATGATACCGAATTTGAACCTAAAAGTTCCTTGATGAATTAAGACTTACCAGTGGGCTTTAAGCACAGAATGGAGGATACGATAGCTTTTAAAGGTGCAGTATAATATGCACCGCAACTATACTTCTATCAACCTTTTCAATTTGAACAAATTATTTCAATGATTATTAACAAAAACATTTATAATTGGAGCTGTTTATTTCAATTGCTTTGCTCTTTTCACTAAAATCATCATCAGAACCGATTTTTGCACCTACAACAAAAGAATTTGACAGTATAAAGTCAAAGTTTTTTTTATTTCATTTTGAAATAAGTTCTTTTTATATTAATAACAGGTACTATAGGACTATAAAACTTGTAACAAGCAAGAATTTCTGCTCCGGGCAAAAAACTGAAGTTTCGAGGTATATTGATATAATAAGTGCATGATAGTGGTGCGTTTTGGAAGCTAGGACGTCCCTTTTTCAATCTAGTGTTTTTTGAAGTTTTTTTTGGTGAGGTGAGTTGGATAAATATTTTGATGACGATTAGACAAGTCTGCTGGGTGCTAGTTTATAGCTCATATTCCCTATTGGGCAGTTTGGGGACTGAATCTCTCTAGAAACCTGGTTTCAGGGTTGGGTAAGATTTAATTTAGTTTTTCTCTTTTTCTTTAAACGTCATGTTTTTTCAAAATTTTCCAAAATCTGGAAAATCTTTGGCCCAGTGGGTCGAGAAGGTTTTCGAAATCGGTTACCCCTTCTAAATAGGAATCCCTCTCCTGTTGTTTCTACTTCTGGGGCAACACATTTTATTATTTGTAGATCGGATGGGAAAGATAATGGCGGCCTTCACTCTCTATCGCCAATAAGAATATGTAGAATAATAAATAGAGAAGTTGGGAAAGTAGTAAACATAAAAAAATGGTCGTGACGGTTTAATTTATATTGAAGCGTTCAATGAGGAACAAGGTAATAAAATAATGAAAATTAAAAATTTAGAAAATATACTGGTAAAGTTTGAAAGAAATTAAAATTGAACACCTCAAAAGGTGTAATTTCTTGCTGGGACTTGAAAGAGTTTACTGATGAACTCCTCGAAGAATTAAAGAGTTCTAATGTCATAAACATTCATCAGTTAAAAAGAAAAGATGGTAGGACATCTTTTTCATGGGTTGTCACATTCAATACCCCGTGTCCTCCAAAAGAATTATATGTTGCCTACATGAAGATAGATGTAAGGCCATTTATTCCTACTCCCCTATGGTTTTTTAAATGTTTAGATTTTGGACATACAATTTCTTCTTGTAATAAGAAGGTTTTTATGTGTGGATTTGGGCTGGAAAGGCATGAAAAGACTGTTCCTTGTCACTCTCCAGTGTGCATGAATTGTCAAGGCCCACATAACACCTTGGCGCGTTATTGCCCAAAATATAAATATGAAACCCAAGTTTTGGAGCTGAAAGTGAAAAATAAAATAACGTTTAATCAAGCAAAGTCCCTAATCGGCCTTATTCAAAAAGGAATTACCGTTGCCAAAAAAGTTAAAATGGGCATGAAAGAAATAGGTTGTCAGACAGAGTCAGGGAACAACTCACTGAACTTAATCCAAAATCTGTCATCTTGCCAAAAAGAATCGAAACCAAAAATGGTAGAAACTATGGTCCAATGTTCCCTTATGGATCCCCCTGTCGATGTTTTTGTCCCCATCCTACCTCCCTCTTCCTTTTCACCACTCAACTCTCCTCTCCCTCATTCTGCTTCTCCGATTAATGGAGAACATCAAGCACCTTTGACCCCTTCAAAATCCCCCCAAAATTACTGATCCCCTTAAGAAAATCTTAAGTAGTCAGTTTAGCTGACTCGTGTAAGGTATAAGGTTGAAATTTTAGATTAATATGGAATCAATCATCCAATGTAATGTGAGAGGACTGAAAAATAATTATTGCTTTTTGAAGAGGATCATGGTGGACCATACTCCTTTTATCATTGCTCTTCAGGAGACACCTTAAGGAAACGGAATCCTTTATGTTGAAAGATTACAACATTTTTTCTAAAGAGGCTGAGGTTTCTGATGGAGGTAGAGCTCATTGGGGCATGGCACTCTATATTCGAAATAATATTCCCTCTAGGAAAATTGATTTAAGTACCAATCTCCAGGCAGTAGCTGTTAAAGCACTTTCTCCGTTAAAATATTCCATATGTTCAGTATATTTTCCTAATAACTTTTTTTCAGAAGAAGAAGTAAAAAAATTATTTTCACAACTTCCAGCCCCTGCAATGATATGGGCGATTTTAATGCTCATTCCATTACCTGGGGATGTTCATCAAATAATATATTTTGAAAATATTATTAATGAGGGAAACTGGATAATACTGAATGATGGAACATACACTCATCTGAATACTTATACCGGGCCAGTTAGTGCAATAGATCTGACGATTGTTTCTGTATGGTTTGTACCATTTGCTGTTGTATCAATGCTGTTAAAAATGTACATTTTATTGGTAGACCAAACGTGCATTCCTGTTGAAAGTTCAAACAAAACATACATAAGATTTTTTAAAATTAGTTATATGGAGATTCTATTTAGTATTAGTACAAGAAATCATATTCCGCCCTTTTTGTATGTTATAATTATTATTTAATACACCTTTTCAGTAATCTGATTGTCATTGTACATTATATTTCATTTATTGTAAGTTTTATACATTTCTTGTTTTTTCTTTTCTAGATGGCGTTGTGCTGATTTGTATCTTTTTCCTACATTTTCATAAAGTGCTATTTAAACAGTGCGTTAAGTTATTTCGCGAGTGTTGAACAGTGTGTGGTTAGCTGGTTCATCTTAGCTGTTTTAAGGCAAGGATTGTTGCCTTCAAAGGGTAAGTTTTATTTATATAACATCTATTTATGTAAGTTGTCTACTATTCTCTCATTTAAACTTAATTTTTTCTTTTTCCAGGAGGGATTTACAAATGGTAAATCAACTCTCTCTGCTGGCAGTCAGGTTAGTGAGCATGTTAGAATTAATATTTTATTATCGCCCCAGCAGCCGATATAATCCTTTCGGTTTAATACTATCTGCAAATTTTAATACAGGTAGTGTTACAAAAATAAAACGTTTTCCTATTACCACCGCATCTGCTTAGAAGTGTTAGAATAGGCACAGATTAATACCTCCCTCTGTCAAAATTTGTAGTTCACTTTAGGTCACGATTACAGAACACCACCAAGAAAAGAATAACACAAGAAATGTATAAAACTTAAATAAATGAAATATAATTTATATATATAATTTATTAATTTATATAAATTATAATTTATAATTTATGTATATAACACAGGGTGGGCGACCAAACCCGGGGTTAAATGCCTGGGTAGACTCATACCCCATCCCTAAAAGGTCCGGGAGTTGGTCGGCTCACGTGTCCTGCATAAATCTCTTGGACTTGTTCTCAAACCCCAAGATTTTGGACCATTTTATCTCGGGGAGTGATTTGGTGATGTCTGCCCCTTCAAAGATTTCAAATCTAGACCTAGCATACCTATCACACTCTGCGAGGTAGTGCTTTGCCGTTTCTTTTTTTATTTTGCAAAAATGGCAAAAAGGGTCTGGTGTCTTCTCAGTGGGCAGTGGCCCGTCAGAATAACTGACTGGTAGTGTCGGTATACCTGACTGGTGGCTCCTAATTCCCTTCACTATAGCCATTTCGATTCTGCTGGTTTGATCACCTTAACAAACTCTTTCGATTGCCTGTGTCCGAGGTGATATAGATTCCACTAAAAATTTTCAATTAATAATAAGAAATTGAAAATCAACAAATTGAATTAAACAACATCCAGTTTTTAATTTAAATTCCAAGGACTTTTGCTCCATGTCAAATTGTTTTAAGTAGTTGGAAAAACTATAAGAACTTCAAAATAAGCCCTCTTAGCCAGACACGGTGAAAAGCTTTCTCCACATCAATAAAAAACCATCCCTAAATCCTTTTTGTTATTAAATATGGAGGATGTAATCGATAACTTGTGCATGGGCTTAAAGCCAAATTGGCACGACATAAAAATACTACTTTGAGTACTAAGAAGCGAGATACTGTTTGATCTTTGTCAGGCTTGGCTACATTCCAGAAAGAGTGAAAATGAGCGAGTAATGGGATGTGATTGATGAGAGAATAGTGAGGTAACTCCCAACATTCAAATCTACATCCTAGAAATCTGAATCTACACGCTGATAGGTTTAGATCTCTCCCAGTATACGCAAGGCTGGATGTTAATTTGAATAAAAAGATAGGGGAAGATGGCGGTGGCACCTAATTGCTTCAATTGCACCTCGATTTTATTGCGAAAATAAACACCTATGTAAAAAGTAAAGCAAAGACTACAAATTCTGCCTAATGGCCTAGCTGCCTGCCCACTGCACACTTCATCTCACAGTTCTTATAAAATGAAAAGCCACCTTAATTCCCACACATAACTTAATTATATTTTCAAATAGTAACATAAAATTAAAACATAATAAAATATTTGCACCAAATAAGTAACAAAAAATTAAAAATCGGAAAGATTGTGACTTTTTTGCACTAATCAGATACAGTTCCCTGGTGGTTGAGACAAGTTCAATTATTATTATCCATAAAACATTAGAACGACTTTTTCCTAACACGTTAAATGTTATATTTTTTTGATATTTTCCATCAAAGTCCATGTCGTGTAATCACATAATTTTCGGTCCTTATCAGGGTACGATATTTCTACATTTTATATTTTCGTTTCTCATAATTTCAATAATAGTTTCCACGAAAGTTTCAGCCAGCTTGATAAACTTCCTCGCGTGGAGGTCTGGGCGCAGAAATTTGACCCTTTTTCTTTAAATTTTAATAATTCTTAGGCTAAGAAATTTGATACTTTTTCTTTAAATTCTATTAATACTGTAGCACAATTTTGTGATCAGTTTTCACTGCTGATCACTTTGATTTTAGAAAGGGTTTTGCTTGTTTGTTGTTTGTCGTTATTTGTCTCGGTCGGTGGTGTTGGCGCAATTTTCTCTAATTGTTCTTCTTCCAGCTCTCCATTTACAGGATGGACTTTCCGCTTCCATTTAGATAATCTTGCGTTCATTCTAGTAATTGAATATAACCCCTAAACTTTTTTTCTGAAAAAAGGTTGTTAATTAATGAAATCACTCTACAGTGGTAAGCAGCAGTCCGTGTCGTGTAGTCACATAATTTTCGGTTCTTATCAGGGTACCAGATTTCAACAATTTTATATTATGAATTCTCATAATTGCCATATTTTTTCTACAAAGGTTTCAGCCTGTTTGATATGAATGAATGAATGAATGAATGAATAATAGTATTTATTTACATGGAATACAACAAACTCAAAATATGTTACAAAATACTTTACGGCATGGACAACAGTCCGTCAGCCGGAGCCTGTTTGATATACTTGCCCAATTATCTTTTGGCTCAGAAATATGATTTTTTAAATTAAATTCTAATAACTCTGTAACCCAATTTTGTGGTCCGTTTTCTGTTCTGATCACTTTGATTTGGGCAGGCTTTTGTATCTGTGCCGATATAGTCTCGGTTTGCGTATGTTTGTCTAATTGTTCCTGTTTCAGCTCTCCATTTTCAGGATGGACTTTCCGACTCCATTTAGCTAATCTTTCCTTCATTCTAGTAACTTCAATGTAACCCCTCAACTTTTTTTCAAGAAAAAAGTTGTTAATAATGAAATCATAGTCTACTGTGGTAAAGATCAGTCCGTGTCAACACATAAAAAATTCGTGTAAACACATAATTTTCAGTCGACTTAAATTCCAGAATCGGGTCTGCATTAGATCCCTGCATTGGTGGATATATTGCCATTTCACCGTAGAGATATTGCCTAGAAGAAATAGAAAAAAAAAACAGCGGAACACGTCCTCTATTGGTGCGAAGGCCTATGTCGGCAGAGATTCCTAATCCTTGGAGAGGAAAAGCCAGGGACTGAAGGAGCCTTTCAAACAGTTTTGTGGTTTGGCAAAATGCCTCAAGCTTAACAAGGAGCTCTAGATAAAGAAAAACGGAGATGCCCAATAGTGCAATAATGGACGCGGTGCACAGGTCGTAAAGCGGCCAGCTCCTACATGGAAAAGGACACAGAGCGGGTTGATGATGACGGACGAGAGGTTGGCTGATCCCCCGAACAGCTGCTATATTATTTCTAGTACCAGAATTAGTTAAAAGGGACAGGATCATTCCTAGTGTGGTAGTATCAGATAATATGGATAGATAAGGATAAGGAGTATATTAGGATGAATATGACAGAAATTTGTGAAATGAGAAATATATGAACGATTAATGATGATAGGAGCTCACGTCTTGGAGTCCAGTAGGCGTCAAGGTTGGATGTGGCAGGAGCCTGTACAAGTCTCATCCTGATTTGATAGTACGATATTTTCTAAACAGCTCGTTCTGTAAATATTTGTAGACCCTATCCAATCAGGAAGACTTTATTATGCCAGTACTGTACAGTCACTGTCTTGTTTCTTCTTTTACTTAATAGTAAGGGCTGAATGATACAGACAGGAGTTCGGTTTGATCATCCTAATCATGATACCTATTCCTTTCAGACTGTAGCACGAGCTTTGCGCGTTTTACTGCCTCTGCTGCACAATCGAAATCTCTTGTCTGAATCATCAACGCCTGGCCGTGTCGTGAGATTCGTAATTGTCATCTCCGTGCGGAAAAGAATGGCGAATAATTGGGGGTCTTAACGACCGTTGGCCCGAGTGGTCCTAGATGGCCATGGTTCGCGTGCCCCTAATTGCTTCGTCCTGTTTCCGTCCAACCGGCAGACCCCTCTTCCATTCTTCTCCATGCTGTCGACCCTGCTGACACTCCTGGCCGCCGTGACGGCCCGCGACGCCCTCATCACACGTCTGGGGCCGGTAAAAGGTGATGTCGGCGTATCCAGGGACGGGAGAACATTCCGCAAGTTCCTCGGGGTCCCTTACGCCAAGCCTCCAACCGGGCGTAGGCGTTTTCAGGTTTGTTATACAACGATTAGTTTTATTATATTTTCACCGATTAATTTTGGACAGGATCCTGTGCCAGTCAAGCCGTGGTTTTTAACCAAGGATTGCAGGAAGGTCAAACCGCCGTGCATACAATCGAACGGAAACGGTACGATCGGAGTGGAAGATTGCCTGTACTTGAACATCTTCACGCCGATCGTCAAACCCGAGGAGCGTTTTCCGGTCATGGTTTACATCCACGGAGGCTTTGGGCACGGGTCCGGATTTGGTGCGTCCTCCGGAGATTACCTCATAGACGAGGAGATAGTACTAATCGACGTCCAGTACAGGCTTGGTGTCCTTGGTACGTTAACTCCTCTACGAAAAAAAAACAACAGGCAATGTTGATTTACTTTAGGTTTTCCAACTGTGGAGACTTTTCCTGCCAACCTGGGACTTAAGGATCAAGCCATGGCTCTGACCTGGGTCAGGGAGAACGTCGACTCATTCGGAGGGGACGTGGACAACGTCACCGTCTTCGGCGGCGGTTCCGCGACCCATCTTCACATGCTATTCAGCCAAGGTAATCAAAATCTTTCAGCAGAGGTTTAAAGTTTGAAACTTTGGACTGTCAGGATTGAAAGGAGTCATCTCGCATGGAGGAGCGTTCGACCGGTTTCGTTTTATAAGGTCAAACGGAAAAGGGGTTCCTGGATGCAACCCAGACCCGAAGTTGACCAAATGCCTTCAAAAGATGACCCCAGGACAGGTGCAAAGTTCTGGCCTTAGCTTTGGCCCTTCAATCGAAACGGACACCCCCGGGGCTTTCATTAAGTCCGACCCTTTGGAACTTAAGCCCACCACACCTTGGATCATCGGTGTATCTCGATGTAAACTTTCCAACAAAACATTTTTTAAACTTTTTATTAATATTAAAACGTACAAAACAGCTTCATATTTGCAAGAGGTCATGGCGAAAGTGGACTTCGGGGATGTTGCCCTGGCAAGGATGAGGGCAAGACTCGGTGACCTGACCTCATACTCGTCTTCCGCCGATTTTCAACTTTACGCACTCGGTGACGCCCTGGTTAAGCACGCCGGGGCGAAGTACTTGTACATGTACGACGGCTCGATCGACCCGTTGGTTCTTGGAGCCGTAAAGGACGAATCGGACGAGTCGACATCCAGATATTTCGTCAGGCTTTGGTCCAATTTCGCCAAATACGGGTGGGTAGAAAAACGCATTATTATTATTTTTTTTTTTCAACGAAATCCTACCTCCGTACAGTGAGCCGGACGTCAACTACCGCCTTTGGACCGAAGGGTCAGCCGGCGACTATCTCAAAATCGGACCTTTCAGCCGTATGGAAGAGGACTTCAACACCGACTCGATAAAATTCTGGTCAACAGTCTTTCCCCAATCATACCCACCGAAATAATACAATGGATAATGTATAAGAAACACAAATAAAAATGTTTTCATCATAGCTTGTGTTGGTGGAACGAAGTACGTCCCACTCTTGATATTCCTTTAGTAACATCTAGCAGGAGCTCGATTTAGATTGCATTGTCATCCTGATATTCCAGCTATTCAGATCCTATTAGGAAACTCAATGGGGAAGTAAATCTTAATTCTGATCATAATCCTGATATTTTTCTGTTTGAGGCTCAAATTTTTCTCATCATAATTTTGATCATTTTCCACTTCAATACCTCAAAAGGACCTCAAATCTCTTTCTTTCTTAACCTGGTACTTTTTGAATAAGATCTAGGAAGGAGCTCGGTTAGAATTATCCCAATCTTGATACTTCTTATTATATGATTTTGCTGGAGCTGGCCAAACATGTTTAAAAATCCTGCTACCTTTTTTTGGGTCAAATGTCAATAGGAGTTCGAAAAGGTATACTACTTAACCTGATAATTTTTCATGGCCTCAATTCAGAGCCCAAATTTCTTTTCTTTATAATCCTGAACCCTTCATTTCAGATTGTAACAGGAACATTTCTCAAGTTTCTCTTAGTAGATTTTGAACAGGAGTTCACGTCGAGTCATCTTGATACTCATCCCGTTAATATATCAATTCAAGCTCGTTGAATGTATAAATATATAAATTCTACTCCTGTTGCTCCTTATTGTCGATCAAGATTTAAGGCAGGAGTTCTCATTCTTGTAAATCCTGATACTCTGCCTAACACCAGGTGCTCGTTTTGAGTAACATTACCTAATCCTTATTATAATAAGATAGCCTTGTTATAGAGCTATAAGGAGCTCGTTGAATGTATCACTTCCTTAGCCTGAAACTCCTCCTTCTTAGGTTGAAACAGGAGTTCATCCCGTGATCCTGATAGTTAAACTGCTATCTTGTTTCGAGTGCCGGCTTTGCGACATTCCGGCTCCTGCCTGTTATTTTTAGCCCGGCCGAACACGGCGTAAAAGACGTTGCACAACGGTTCCGACGGTCATAACTATTGACCCATTGACACCGGGCCGCGGGCGGTAAATTGGCCATGATTGGTACATAGACGGGGAACGGCGGAGGGGTCCCACTCGGCATCGCAGAGCAGCCGACACCTGATCGCAATCGAGACCGGCAACCAAAAGACAAAACAACCATGGCACCTAGGTGAGTGAGAATCAAACATTTTCAGCTTCAAGTTTTCTTCGGGTGTCAACTGGAAATTGTGTACGCAGCACCTAATCCCGTTTAAGGGCTCAGCAGGAGCTCAAATCTTTCTCCTCATAATCCTGATACTTCTCCAGGTTAAGGTCTCAACAGAAGCTCAATCTTTCCCATAATAATTCCAATTTATTTTTAGTTTCTTTCTCATCATACTCATCCTGATACTTTTCCTTTTTAACGCATTCAGTAGGAGCTCAGATACCTATTTCCTAATCCTGATACTTACTTAGATGAAAGTTTCACAGGAGCTCAAATATTTCCCATCATAATCCTGATACTTTTCCAGCCTAACGTCTCAAAAAAGACGATTAGATTAGGAGTCCTAATTGTCATACTTTTACACTTTAAGGCCTCAACAGGAGCTCAAATCTCTTTCTTTCTAAACCTGATAGTGTTTGAATAATATCTAGGAAGGAGCTCGGTCAGAATTTATAGCAAGCTTGATACTCCTTGTTCTAAGATTTTGCGGGAGTTCGAAATCTCATTTTTCCTAATCCTAATAATTGCCCAGTAAAATGTGTTTATAGGAGCTCAAAATCTTCCCATCCTAATCCTAAATAGTTACGCACTTTAAAGTCCCAACAGCAACTCGAATCTTTTTCATCGTAATCCTGATACTTTTCTAGTTTAAGTTCTCGAAAGGAACTCAAATCGGTTTATTTCAATTCTTATACTTTTCCTCTTTCTCAAATCTATCTCTAATGCTGATCGTTTGCCAGTTCAGGGTTACAACAGGAGATCGAAATCTTATTTTTCTTAGTACTTGCCCTGTTTAAGGTGTGAACAGGAACTCCAATTTTTCCCATTCTTATTCTTTCCTTGTACCAACAGAAGCTCAAATCTTTCTCCTCGTAATCCTGATACTTTTCCAGTTTAAATCCCGAAAGATACTTAAATTTATCAATCCCTAATCCTAATACTTTTTCAGTTTTTGGTGTGAACAAGGGCTCCAATTTTTCCCATTCTAATCCTGCTCCTATTCCCGTTCATTTTGCAACCGGAACTGGCAATCTCACTTTTCCTCATCTTAATAATTATCCAGTTTAATATTCCAACAGGAGCTTAACCGTTTCTCATCGTAATGCTAACATTTTCCTAATCCTAATACTTTTCCAGTTTAAGTTCTCTAAAGAAGCACAAATCTTACTCTTCCTAATCCTGCTCCTTTTCCCGTTTATTTTTCAACAGGAACTCGAAATCTCATTTTTCCTGATCTAATAATTATCCATTTTAATGTCCCAACAGGAGCTCTAATGTTTCTCATCCTGATATTTTCCCATTCTATGGTCTAAACAGTATCTCAATTCTTTCTCTTCCTTATCCTGTTCCTTTGTTCAAGGTTTCAAGAGAAGCTCGAAATCTTATTTTTCTTAATCTCGATACTTGCTCAGTTTAAGGTATGAACAGGAGCTCAAATCGTTCCCATCCTAATTCCCTTATATTTGCTAAGTCGAATGCCCCAACAAGAGCTCAAATCTGTCTTATCATAATCCCGATACTTTTTCAATGTAGTTCAATGTCTCAAAATGGTTCAAAACTGTCTATTTCTAATCCTCATACTTTTCCTCTTTCTCAAATTTACTCTCCCTAATCTTGACCATTTGCTAGTTCAATGTCTCAACAGGAGCTCGAAATCTTATTTTTCCAACGATGTTTACTGTTTCTCATCATAATCCCGAAACTTTTAAAGTTTTGGTTCTCGAAAGGAGCTCAAGTCTCCCCTTCCCAATCTTCTCATATCTTCAACCTCCTAATCCTGATATTTTTCATTTTAAGTTCTCAATAGAAACTCGAAATCTTTCTCATAATAATCCTGATACTTTTACAGCTCAATGTTTCAACAGAAGCGCAAATTTTTTTGCTCCTAATCCTGGTTCTAATTTTAAGGTCTTAAAAGGAGCTCAAATCTCCCTTTTCACAGTCCAGATAGCGTTCTGTTTCTAGTGTGAACAGAAGCTTATATCTTTATCCTCCCAATCCTGATACTTTTACAGTTTAAGGTGTTAACAAAAGCCCGAATTCTTTCTCATTCTAATCCCGATCCTTGTCCAGGTTAATGTCTCACGGCTCAAATCTCTCTCTTCTCGGCCCTGATACCTTTTCAGTTTAAAGTGTCAACAGAAGCTCCAAATCTTTCTCATCCTAATACTGATACTTTTCCTCTTTAAAGGATTACTCAGTACGAACTCAGATATCTATTTCCTAATCCTGATACCTAGATGAAAGTCCAACAGTAGTTCAAATATTTCTCATCACAATCCTGATACTTTTCCAGCCTAACGCCTCATAAAGAAATCAAATCTCTTTCTTTCTAATCCTGATACTTTTCCTCTTTAAAAGATTCAGTTGGAGATAGATACCTTTTTCCTAATCCTGACAGTCCCCTAGATGAAGGTTCAACAGGACCTCAAATATATCTCTTCCTAATCCCGATACTTTTCTAGTTTAAGTCCCCTAAAAGAGCTCAAATCTTTGCTCTCTATTCTGATACTCCTGTTCTAAATCTCGCCACGTTTGCAAATCTGCTTTCTTAGTGTATATTTCTCTATTTTGCAGTAGGAGAAAAAAACCGCCAATTTTTTCCCCTTTGCAATCTCGGTTTCCCTTTCAGGATCAGCTGTCGGACGGTATCCGGGTCGCCCTTGAACCCGATCCTGCACGACCGGTTTCTATTCCTTTCCACCCCCTTCTCTCGCTCTCTTCGCGAATCCCTTTCCGCGAATTGATGATCCGGGGCGTAACGAACGCGGCCAAGGGCAACGTCGAGTATCTTAGTTGCGAAATTAATCTCCAGGTCCCCAAATGGTTCACTAAAAGAAAAGCTAAAAGAAAAATCGCGTCTTAATTCAATTCCCATGAACATTTGGTCCTCCGGGCCGGATGAGATCCGAAACAACTCTGGCTGGGTTTTCTTCTACCACGGTCCACGGACCGTCCAGTCTTGATTGTATTTGTTTTTCTAAAAATTAAACTTCTTTTTACGAATTGCTTCATACTTTTTTCTAAAAATTAAACTTCTTTTTACGAATTGCTTCATACTTCGCACTTTATCCAAGCTTTAAGGATACGAAAATGGTCGTTGATATTTTTCTTCTCCTGTTCTTTTGGTCTGACGGTTCATCCACAAAAATAATTGTGGATTGTTTGAATTTGTCTTTACCCGTTTATTCCGTTCTTGGGGTACGTGTCCGAAGGCACACAACGCCAGTTTGTCTAATTATCGCCCGGCCCCCTCCACGGTAGTCCCGCGTCGCCACCTCCGGGCTATCATCACGCCCGTTACGCCGCGAGATGATGACGTTCATCGCCTTGGCCCTCGCAGCCTTCTGCGCCCTTCCCAGGTCCCAGGTGAGCCGAAAACTCCTCCTATTCTGACCCCATGCACTTTTTTAATTTTTTCCCCTCCAAAGTGCGCCGATTTCGACCTAATCGCCGATCTCCTCCAAGCCTCCATCGACAAGGCCAACTCGTTCGATCCTGGCCGATACAACAGCACCAGAGAAGCTGCATCGGTGATCGACACCGTCAGAAAGAAGCTAGGTCGTGATTTGCACCTCTTGGAACAAGGCCTACTCTCTGGGGTAAGGGACTTAAATTTCAGGATTTAACTTTGTCATTTTCCTGCTCTATGGACAAATTTGATGATAATTAAACGGTGGCACCAGCCTCCAAAACTTCTTAATTCTAACTTTTTACCCGGTTAGTCATAAATCATGACCATAAGTACATTTAGACAGTTGCCAAGTGTGACGAAAAATACATCTTAAAAGTTGGCACTTTCCCCCAAACGCCACATTTTGAAGGCTTTCCCATATTTGGCCTCATAATAGATCATGATCATAATCATATTTGGTTTTTTTTCCTTGGCTGACGAACAATAAGTCTTAACAAGTGACCTAAGCATAAAAAATTCTACATTTTGAAAGATTTACCTATTTAGCCACATCATAGATCATAATCATTACCGTATTTGGACATTTCTTCTAGTATGACGAACAATAAGTCTCAAAGGATGGCACCAGCAACTAACTCCTCTAAATTTAAAGGTTTCACCCTTTTAAACAAATCATAGAACATGATCTTAATCAAACTGACAGACTGTAAGTCTTTAAAGTTGACGCCAGCATCCAAACTGTACATTTTGAAAACTTTGCGTAATTAGCTTCATCACAGATCATGATCATAATCATATTTGGTCATTTTTCCTAGACTGTCGAACAACAAGTCTTAACAGGTGACCTAAGCATAGACCTAAGCATAAAACCTCTACATTTTGAAGGCTTTATCTATTTAGCCTCATCATAGATCATGATCATGAATCAAAATCATGGAGTTTCATTTCATGGAGTTTCATTTTTATCTATCACACTCCCACAATTTTCTGGCCTTTTTTTGATGATTTAAGATTTGATTTTGCCATTTCTAGTTATTTAGATGAAACATGCCTGTGATCATGAGCTTTGGGGCATGACGATAATGATTTTTCATCATGTTTATGTTACTACGATCACATTGGTTGGAAATAGTTTATGGTTATTTTTCTCCACATGACAGACACAGCTACAAGTTAGGAATTGGATGAAAATTGAACATTGGACTATGACCGATCATGATCATTAAACATAGTCATCGACGTCATCATTGAAATAAGTTTTAATTATGGTAGTTGGCTGGTTATTGTTTTTTCTGATGTCCCGTGATTAAAAAATGGTGTATATATTTTTGGTCCTCCGGGCCGGATTTTTTTAGAACGAGGGCCGCATGAGCGCCCTGATCGCCAAGGTGAAGTTTTCCGTGGACGCGATGGCCGGCGGGTTCGAGGCCGATCCGGCCTCCGTGTCCGACGCCTGGCTTCAGACAACTTCAGCGGTACTGCAGGTCCTGCGCGAAATCGAGCGTATGCTGGAAGGCCATCCGGGCTGGACTCCGAGCTGGCACTACATCTCACAATTCCTCGAGTCGTTCCTTCACGACAGTCCTAGAGAAAATGGCGATAGTTGATTTGGTCCTCCGGGCCGAATGGGGGGGAGGGTATTTCAGGTGTTTTTTTGTTGTTTTGAACTAGAATAAAGTAAACAATTTTAAACAGAAAAGTTCTTTGTATTTATGTCAATAGATTTTATTTTTAATATAGAGCTGACTTTTTTTTCAATCTGGTCTTCCGGGCCGGCTTTTGCTTTTCCAAACACCCTTTAATTATATGTTGAAGATTTTTTTTTAACGACCTATGACTCACTTTTTTCACATCGTACCAGTCTTTTTAACCGTTCCGGATTGTAACGGAACTTTTGGTCCTCCGGGCCGGATCCCCCACCTCCCTTGCGTTAACCATGCGGAAAAGCCACCCGTGGAATTTCATCCAACTTTTTCGAACAGGGCCGTGTCAGAATCGAGTTCATCGACCCCCCCAGGATGCGTAAACAAAGTAACTGACCTTTCCGAATACAGTCATCGCCTGAGCCGATCTCTGATGATAAATTTTTTTTTATTATCGAACCTGGCAGACTGCTTGTCCCTCGGCGACATTCCCGACGCGCGGAAGGTGGAAACGAGTGATTTACGCCTGTCCCCCCTGGAGGCGTTCCAAGAACGTCCGGTCTTAAATGGGACGTTGAATTGTAAACAAGGCGAATATGTGTCAACGTTTCTGCGTCTTAGGCCCGTATCACTTCTTTCACACCGTTCCTCCAATCAACGAAATTCGCGCAAAACTCTGCATATAAAGAAGAAAACGACCCTAATTCTCAATACGAGAAGGGTAGTTGAAAGGGTCGAAAGGAATCAAATTAGGCCCTCCGGGACGGATAATTTTCTCCTATATTTCTGCTATAACACTTGTTTTACGATATTTTCGTATAACCTACATTTGCAAAAGGATTATACCCGGTAAAAAATATTTATATCACTATCCGCGTATAACCTTTCTCATTAAGATCGTATTCTATTTTATAAAATCAATTCTGTTGTATAGGCTACCTTTTATTATCGATTGTTTTAAAAATATATTTTTTACTTTAATTTGATATTTGTAACGACACCCTCGTTTAACTTACCTTTTTAAGATCGATTAATTGTTTTAATAATCGATTGTTCTATTTATTCAATATTTAAATCGATACTATCGTATAACCTTTCTCTTTAGGATCGGCTCTGTTTTAATAATCGATTATTTGTTATATATATACTATCGGATATATAACCTTCTCCTTTAGGATCGATTCTCTTTCCTTAAAATAAATGGTTTCCTATGTAATATTTAAATCGATTCTCTAGTATAACTGTTATGAAATCGATAATCTTATTCTAAAATGTATACAACATTTAAATTTAAAATAAACCGACTGCTCTAAGAACGATTTACGCATCGGTTGTTTTTAATATAAAAAAATTAAATTGATCTTCTCATATAACATTTTTAGGATGGATTCTCATTCCTTTAAATCGATTATCTTCTATTTAGAGTATTTAAATCGATTTTCCTAGTATAACATACCTTTTTAAACTTGATAGTTTATAAAATTGATTAAATATAATAAATTAATTAAGGTTTTAAGTTAAGATAAAAAGTCAATGGCACGGCTTGATACGGCGCTGCTCTATCACTTGAGCTATCGTGACCTCAAATGGTAGAGCAGCGGCGTATCAAGCCGAAGGTCGTGGGTTCGAATCCCCCGGTCGTGCCATTGACTTTTTTATCTCAACTGAAAACCTTAATTAATCGTAAGATATTAATTGGTCAAGCGGACCACGAAACTAGTGAAATTAATTATAATTTTAAAAAAAATTATTGTTCTCTATATTGAAACTTTAAATCCATACTATCGTTTAACTCAACATTTCAAGAGCGATTAATTGTTTTATTAATCGATTGTTCCCTTTATACGATAATCATATCAATTCTTTCCTATAATCTTTCTCTTAGGATGGATTGTATTTCATTGAAATCATTTTTTCCTATATATAATATTTAAATCGATACTTTCATTGAACTAAACTTTTCAAGATCCATTATTGTTTCAGTAATCGATTGTTTTCTTATAATGTATTGATTTTTCTTTATATAAAAAATCTAATTCCATTCTTTTCTCTTTCCTTCAAATCGATTGTTTTCTATTATAAATCGATTCCATGGTATAACTTACCTTTTTAGGATCAATTGTGTTAACAATCGATTTTCCTTATATACAATATTTAACTCTCTTATAAACGTTTCTCTTTAATATCAATTGACTTTCTTTTAAATCTTTTTTTTTTCAATTTTTGTATTTAAATCGATTATGCAGATTAATAAAAAATCGTTTGTTCTCTGTATACAATATTTGATTCGATACGCTGACATGATCATCTTCTTTAACATTTATTCTATACATAAAGTATTAAAATCGATTCTCTGGCATAACCTACTTGTTTATAATCGATTGACACAACCACTAAGGGTCATGATTTTCCCAATGACTATCTCAAAGGTTCAAAGGCGGCATGCGGGGTAGAGCCACCTTCGCGGATAAATTTTATTTTTTCTTAAATACAATATTTAAATCTATATTCACGTATAACCTTTCTTTTAAGGATCGATTCTCTTTCCTTTAAATCGATTGTTTCGTAAAGAATATTTAAATTGATTTTCTAGTATATCTTACCATTAGAAAGTCTATTTTAGTTTTGTATAATCAATTCGACTAAAAAATTAATTATTCTCTATATACAACATTTATATTGATTCTTTGGCACAACCTTATGATTGTTTTAAAATTTGATTTTTTCTTAAACACAATATTTAAATCGATACGTAAAACCTTCATCTTAAAGATCGATTCTCTACCATAACTTACGTTTTGAAGTCGATTTTAGATTTGTATAATCAATTAATTAAAAATAATTATTGTGTACACTAACTTTTTCATCTTAACCAAGTCCTTAGATAAAAAGTATAATTGAACTATGTATAATATTTAATTCGATTCTGTAGTGTAAATTACCGTTTTTAAATCGATTGTTTGTTCTAAAAATCGATTTTTCCTCATATACAACGTTTAAAACCATTTTCTCGAATAACCGACAGTTTTGAAATTTTCGATTTTCCCTTATATCGATAATTATGGTGTAACGTTCTCAATTAAAATCGTTTCTTTTTCGAAGGGCGTTAATATAAAAGTGAAATTATATCAGATTTACAAAAGTGTTAACGCGGCGAGTACGAAAGAACGAAATTCCATAACGGTTTCGAGAAGCGATTTTCTCTCAATTATAATTTTTTTAAAAATGCCAGGTTGGGGGCGAAAAATGATGTTTATAATTAAGTAATGATAATTACTCGGTGAAAGCGGGTTTTTCAATTGGAATAAACGGCTTTCTCCTCCGGGGGAAAATAGAGAATAGTTTGTTGTTGATATGCTTTTGTAGGCCTTTGGCGCAACCCTATTCATAGAAAATAGGAGTGCATGTAGAAAAGAGGAAAAAATAGGAAGACAGATAAAAACCTGCACACTGAATATAATGTCGGTTGGGAAAGGATTGATTGTGATCTCGTAAAACTCGTTAGACCAGATGGTGTCTTTTATTGGCGTCCCCCCTCGAGGTTTGTGTTTTTTATTGGCGTGAGGTAATAAAAAAAAAAAAGCCGATAGTTGAACGATCCTGTGACAAAATCGGATCAATGGATTGACTTGGAGAGGGGAGTTTTCTTGATTCTTCCAGTATGAGGTCATCACACGCCCAGTCCTGGCCCCCCCCGGAAATATCCAACGTCAGATGGCGAAACCAGGCGGGCCCCCACCACTGTACGTCTACGGGAGGGCGAACCCCCTTTGAAAGTCGGCTTCAGTCTGTGTCTTTCTTCCCTGACGGATAGCCGCCGGATCGAACGAGGTGAGATACGTAACAATATCATTTCTGAACCCACGGGGCTTAGCTTTTTAAGTGTCGACGGACAGATACCCATGTGAAACTCACACTCAGGTACAACTTAAAAAAAATAAAATCCACCACTTTGACGTCTCCCTAATTAAAATTACATCATTCGTGTCAGCATGATGATCATCCTGTGCTCAGGCCTTAGAATTGGGAAGAACCTACCGGACGACTCCGTACAACTTGACCTGACCGTGATGATTAACGATGATGAGATGCCATTGGCAAAACGGCCGGATCGGGACTCGTGGTGATTAGGGACAAAGACTTGCTTACGATTAGTTCGATTTTTTTTATATTCTGGGACAGCCGCAGTCTGTGATGATTAATGATGACGAGACGTGGTTAAAAGCTCCGATGATTAAGTAACATAACTTGCCTGTGATTAGTTTTATTTTTTTGTAGTTACATACTCTTGGATTTTATACATCTGTGATGATTGGCGATGATTGGACGTGGTTTTTTGGCGGGACTTGGAGTACGGGGTCCCATAACGGGATGACTAAGGACGATGATTTGCCTGTGATTGGTTTTATTGTGGTGAATTTACATTCTCTTGGATTTTATACGTCTGTGATGATTGACGATAATGTTGCACGGTTGTTTGTTTTTTTGCGGGCTTTGGAGTACGGGGTGTCATGACATGATAATTAAGGACGATGATTTGCCTGTGATTGTGCTTAATCCTTTTTGTTTGTTTTTATCCTGGGACGGCCGCAATCTGTGATTATTAACGATGATGATATGCGGTTACAAACCCTGATGATTAAATAACGAAACTTACCTGTGATTGGTTTTATTTCTGTCTTGTTACATGCTCTTAGATTATATACATCTCTGATGATGGTACACGGTGGCAAGCCGTGATGATTAAATAATACCTGTGATTGGATTTATGTCTCTATTGTTACATGCTCTTGGATTATAATATCTCTGATTATTAGTGATGGTTTGATACGGTGACAAGCCATGATGATTAAATAACGTAACATACCTGAGATTGGTTTTATGTCTGTATTGTTACATGTATCTCGAAGTATATATATATATATCTGTGAAGATTGGGTTGATGGGACAAGGTTTTTAACCTAGGACGGACGTACTTTATGATGATAAAGTTTGATGAGACGAGGTCCAATGTGGTGATGATTAACTAAGAAGACTTTCCTGTGATCGGTTTTTGTTCTTGTTTT